GCATGGAATGTAATATTTTCTATGCTTTATTTACTTACCTCCCTTGAAAAAATCCTGAATACGGCTTTGTTGATAAAAATTGTGATGGCTATTCAGAAATTATATGCTGAGAGAAGTCAGAAAACAGGTCTACTTTTTGTTTCATAAAAACATTGGAGAAATCCTTCACTAGCCCACATTTTGCATCAACACCCATTGTTGTGGGTCTCCAATGCGAGAGGGCAGGCAGGCGGGTATCATGCTGCCCAAGTTGCTTGGCCCAGCCGGGCCCGGAGGAGATGCAGAGCCTCTCTGGCCAGGCAGGAGCCACGCAGCCTTGATGCGGCTAGGCCTTAAGTGAGGCTCAACTGCTCCTCCTGCCATGCGTCATGCACCGCTCACATCTCCCCTTCTAATTTATGACTTTTCTGTCACTCTGAGCGGCTCCCAAACAGCATTATTTAACTTTATTTGCATTTAATAATAATTCACTTTTTCTCGGCACATTGCAAATTATCATAATCAGGCTGGAGGTGAGATTGAATTTCATCAACAGCTGAGGGGCTTCTCCCTCCCTCCCTCCCTCCCTCCTGTGGCACAGAAGAGAGGCTTGTCCACATCAAAAGGCCTCTGCGTCCAGGCGGGTTGGAGGCGGCTGCTTTCTGCCAGGAGGGGCCAGGCAGTGGAGCAGGCAGGGTCCTGGCCCATGGAAGGATTGGCAGTGGCTTCAGCCCAGCACCAGACCAGATCCTCCCCCCGCCCCCCCAAAAAAAAATCTGCTGTATGAACACACCTTGTGCCTCTTTGTTGAGCAAACGCGCGCCAGATTTGCTGCTCTTACCTTCCTGCGCCTGAAGGCCTAAACAACCCAGAACGTGTCTCTTCTTTGTAGGGGGAAAGGAATCTAACCTTGTTCAACAATGCTCTGTTTGTCTCTCTAAATTTATTATTTTGGGAGAAAAAGCAAACAAACCAAAGAGAATTTTAAAAAATAATTTTCTGCATGGCCTATTTTTGCTTGAGAAAAAAAGTGGCTGAGAAGGATGCCAAGGGTCTCCCCCTTTCCCCCTGGAAAATCAAAATGTCGTGCTGTTTACTTCTTCCCATCTCCACTGAAGAGGCTCTAGAGCCCTCTTGAGTTAAATGAAACTTTTAAAAGTCTTGTTCTTGAGAAGGGCCAGAGACCCAGAGAGCAGCTGCAAAACAGGCCTGGAAGAAATACAACCAGCCTCGTGCAAAGCCCTAATGAGAAAAAGAACAAGTAGAGATGGAAGCTTAAGAGAAATGTGCACAAGAAAAACTACAGCCGCGGGGGGGGGGGGGGGGGGGGGGGGAGGCCGCGGGGCGGGGCGGCCAACCAGCATATTGATCGGGGCCAAAGAAATGAGAGGGGGGATGGGGGGGGGGGGGGGGGGGCGAGATAAATGGCGGGAGATAGAGAGCTTCAGTCTGATGAAAACAGGAGGGAGGCAGCTTAAATCAAAGAGCAAGCCGACCAAAGAGATGCTGCGATAAAAGGATTTCTGTTTATGGGGCGAAGGGAAGACAAGGTGGGGAGCTGGGGCTTGCCCGTCTCCCTGGGGCCCAAGGGAAGGGAGGGGGAAGGGGGCCCATGTCAGAGGAGCCCACTCCCCAGGCCTCGCGATGAACATCACCTCACCCTCTAGAACAGGGAATCAGAAACGCCGCTAGCTAATACATTTAAAGACGCTCCCTTACGCAGAGAATCAGTAATAATTGTAAAAATGGGCATTGATAGGGCTGGGCCGAGGTTTAATCCAGAGATTCAATTTGAAGCCAATTCGATCAAATCTCTGAATTGAGTCAAATTGTTAAATCAAATCAAATCCCATGCACAAAAAGCCTCTTTTTTCCCCCTGCATTGAGTTGGAAAATCAAATCAAAACAATTTTCTGGATCAATTTGAAGTGTCAAAATAGATCAAATCAGTGACTTGATTTGAAGCAGGTCACAGCCAATCAGCCTCCCCCTCATCAAGAGAGCAAGAGAGCGTGAGGACCAGAGTGGCCCTTCCAGAGGGCCAGAGACCCCCATGACTCACCTGGCCAACCCACCTCCGATGCCCACCAGCTCCAGCCCTCCTTTCCTCCTGGGGGCCGAGGCCAGAGGTGGTGCCTGGTCCAACATCATCTGGTCGGAACTGGCACCCGACCCCAGTCTGGGTCCACCCTGCAGCCCGAGGACAGGACTGGCACAAGGGGCCGAGCTGGGCCAGCCTCTTTTCCGGCTTGGCCATTTGTGGGGAGGGAACTCAGAGCAGGCTGGAGCCCAGGAAGTGACACCCCCCCTCCCATTTTGAGGATGGCTGTGATTGGCAGAGTGAGGGCAGGGTCCTCAGCCAATCACAGCGCTTATCCCCCATTGCAGAGGCATAGTCAGGCCAGCCCTGCTCAGTCCCGACTCTCCTGCTGACCGTCTGGTTCAGTGGGGGGGGATTCCATTTTTGTCACTACTGGTTCTGTGGGCGTGGCTTGGTGGGCGTGGCAGGGGAAGGAGACTGTAAAATCCCCAGTCAGAGGGGGTCTTTGCCGGTTCTCCAAACTACTCAAACAAATTCTGCTACTGGTTCTCCGAAACTGGTTAGAACCTGCTGAATCCCACCTCTGATCTGGTTCCCTCCTGCAATACTGAACTCCAGGCCTTCTTCACGCACGCAGGGTGGACTGAGGAGGGACCCAGAGCACCCCAAGTTGCAAAGAGGGTTTTCTGCTGCCACCCAGCAAAGGCAGAAAGGTGCAGAGTTAACAGATGTTGCCTGCCCCTCCCCCAGAGAGAGGGCTCCAGGCACAGGCCACCTTCAGGATCAGGCCCACTGCCTTCACAGCCTGACTTGTCCACTCAGCAGAGTGTCCTGCAAAGCCTTTTCAAATTGAAATGGGGATTGGCTGGCCGGGGTTAATAGGAGTGTTGGAAAATAAATAGGTTATTGATTGATCATAACAAAACGCTGACTGCAGCCTTGCTTCCTGGCCTTCTCTGACCCAATATTACAGAAAATCCAGTTAGCATCTCATTATGACCAGCTGGCTGGGGGAGGGGATATTAATGAGCAGATGATGAGGGCTGAGGAAGAGGATGGGCAGAGGCTGGCCCCCAGTTATTGGGGGGGGGGAACTAAAGCTCAGACAACCCTCCGCCCATGGGTCTTGGGAGAGTGGCCCTTGGGCACCACTGGGTTTGGTTTCTCAGACTGTCCTGGTTGGTCTTCAGGTAGCTCTGGGGCAGCCCCTCTGCCCCACCCGGCTGTTGCCCCAGAGCCACCGCAGGACCCATGGAGACCGTCTTCAGTCTTCTTTCCTGGGGTCGTAGGCCAGTTGGCATTTGGCAAGCTTTGCTTGAAGGGGTTCCACAGAAGCCCTTTCCTCACCTTCAGATTCTAGCCACAACCTGCCAGGAGGTCAGAACCTTCCAAAAACGACACCCCAGGAACAGAGGGAAGGTGGCCGAAGTGATGCCTGAGAAACTCACTGCTTTGCCCACCACCTGCAGGTGAAGCCAGGCTGGGCCCAGCAAAGGCTCCCTGGGACAGCCTCGCCCACCTCCCAAAGCTCATCCCTGCATTGGACAGGCCCTGGGAGTAGGGGGGCACGCGGGGGGGGGGGGGGGCGCATCTGGCTGGAAGCAGCGGCAGCAGCAGCAGCAACACAGGTGCGTGCGGGGGCGTGTTTCCAGTTCTTGGGGAACAGACTGAGGCAAAGTCAAGCGGGCAGCGGTTTGCTGGGCGACAGCGCCCCCTCGCCAAGCGGAGACCCTCCCGCCCGCGCCCCAACGGGCCAAAGGGACGGGCCCGGCGGAGAGGAGGCCGGGGACGCTCAGCTGAGCCAGGCAGGCGAGCCGTTTCCTTGCTTTAGTCGCCACCTGGTGCCCGAAGTGCCTGCGCGGCGGCCTTTCCTTCCTCGGCGCTGGGCGAAAGGGGGCCCTCCGCGGGGAGAGCCAGGCAGCCCCCGAAGGGAGGGGCTCCCCGTTACGGCCCCGAGACCGCGAGCGCCCGCCGGGCTGCGGGCCGTTGACGAGCGAGGGCTCAGCTGTGGCGGTTCGGTTTCACGGGCTTCCCGAGGGGCGGGACCGTCCTGGACGGCCGTGGAGGGCCCGGCTGCTACGCCACCCGCCAAGGGGCTCGCTCCGGAGCGGACGAGAAGAGGAAGGCGGCAACCGGCTGGCTTCGGGACGGGCGAGAGGAGGGCGGGACGGGCGGGGCGGGGGTCCTCGGGGGTGACCTCCGAGAGCAGCTTGCGCAACGCGGCGGCGGCCGCTGCCCGACACGCTCCTGAAGCTTGGACTTCAACTCCCAGGATGCTTCGGCGCAGCGCGGAGGGGTCGAGGGCGTCCTCCGACCCGTCGCCCTCCACTGATTTGTGCCCCAGCCACCTTCGGGGCTGCACTTGGGGCATTGTGGGAAATGTAGTTCCTTAGCGAGGGGCTCTCTCTCTCCCCGCTCGCCTCGGAAAACTGCATTTCCCAGACTCCACTTCTTGTGTTCGGCGGGGGCTGCGTGAGCGGTGGACTCCGGGGGCCCGATCCTCGGGGGGCGCCTGCTCACCTGCGGCCGCCGGGAAAGGCGGAGGAGACGGGGAGGCTTCCCGGGCCGCCTTCCTCGAGCGCCGTTGAGGAGCTACGCCAGGGCGCCTTCGCGGGCGGGGGCTTCTTCCTAGGCCGCCCCTCCTCCGCCGGAGCCCGCGGGATTGGCCCCCCAATAAAAGGCGGGGCAGCCTTGGAAGTGGCGCCGTTCTTCCGCGATCCCGGATCGTTCCTTCCCCGGGACGGGGGCTTTGGGCTGCCCTGCAGCCGCCCCTTTTCCCCTCCGCGCCGCTCCCCCTTTCCCAGCCGGCTGCTCTGGCTGACGTTCCCGGGAAAAGCTCAGCCGCGCCCGGAGGCCGGCGGGACCACAAGAGCCTCCCGGCGGCCAGGCGGGCTCAGTCCCGGCCCAGCAGAGGGCTGCTCAGCCGGCCGCCGCTCCGAGAGGCCCGCCGCGGGGGCGGTCCGTCTTCCTCCTCCTCCTCCTCCTCCGTGCGCGTGACGTCTCTCGGCGCCGGCCGGGCAGCCGGAGGAGGGAAGCCGCCCCGGGGCTGCCTGCGCTCTCCCCGGCCGAAGAGGACTCCGCCGCCGGCGCCGTTCGAGCGGTGAGTACCCCCGGCGCCGAGCCCCGGGCCCGGCTCTGCCCTGCCACCTGGCGCCCTCCGGAGCCCCGCTTCTTCCCGGACAAGGGCCGGGAGACGCTTTTGTCCCGAGCCCGCGAGTGAGCCGCTCCGCTCGGTGGGATGCTCTCGACCGGTTCCCCGCTGGGCCTCGGATGCCTCCCCGGCACCGCGGGCTTCGCCCCCACCGCCCGCGAAAGCCGCCTGGGCCCTTCCTCTGCCTGGAAGGGACCCAAGGGCCAGGGATGCGGGGCTCCTGACTCTGGCGGCTTCCTCGGGGGCGGGGGGGGGGTCCGCCCAATCTCCCCTGTCCACCACCCGGCAGGGCCTGGGTCGCTGAAACGGAGAGCTCCAGAACCTGCTTTGGGGTATCGGAATGGAGCCGCCCTTCCGCCCGCCCGCATCCCAGCTGACTTGAGTTCAAGGGGAGATTTGGCCTTGTGGAGCTTGGAGAATTGGGGGTCAGGTGCCCCACTCTTCTCTGGTGCCACCCCCTGGTCAGCATAGGAGACCCCGGGAGTTGTTTTGCCTCTGGGCAACTGGGGGGGGGGGCGGCACCTGCTGTCCCCCCCCCATTGCTGGAAAATCCCATTTGCACCAAAACAGCCCAACTGGACAGTCTCCCCTTCCTCCACCTTCTCTCTTTCCTCTGTTTGTCTGTGTATTTCTGTCTGTGTGTGTGCATGTGTGCACGCGCACTCATGAATGTAACTGGCCCTAAGATGCTTTTGAACAGCCTACATAAGACCCACATGGAACGGTTTATTGTTGCACCACTGTTGGAGAAAAATGACGCACAACCTTGAAGGAAAAATACGTTTATTTGGTGCCTAGAAACATTTTTGTCCTTTATAATAGGTCAAAAAGTTGCCCAAGGCCTGCAGGGGAGCCCTACTAGAGATGGGCTTCGGCCCCAGCTCTTTGGGGTGGGGGGTGAGGGGGGCTTCAGTTCTCCTGGAGTCAGTGAGACCCTGCCACAGATGCTAAGATGCAGAAGCGGCTGCCCAGGCGTTGGTCCCTTTTCTGCACCTCTGAAAGGAGCCGTTTGCAGGAGAAGTGATCTGTTTAGGGAACGCTGAGTCAAACCGGAGCCCAAAGCCCACAAGTGTGGTTTCGTAAGTGGCACAGGAAACTAATTTTATCTCTTCCTCAACTGCTCCAGGCCTGTAGCTCTTGGTTTCCTGTTGCAGGCAGAGGGAGCACACTGTTTTCAAGACATCCTCCTCCTTGCCTCTTCTCCTGGGGAGGCGGGGGGGGGGGCTCTCCAGGGGGGCCACCCAGCTCCTCCTTAGCCCCTTTCCACCCTTCAAAAGGGCCAAGGGTGGAGGGCAGGACAGCATCTCTTTGCCTCCTTGAGCTCTCCTTCCCTCCCCTGGATGGGAAGCTTTTCAGTGGAACCCCCACCCCCGTCCTGTTCAAGGGCAGCAGGAGCTCTTAGTAAATGTTCCTGAGCCTGGGATCCACTGGGCAGGCAGCTCCCTCCCACCTCAGGCTGTGCTTGTCCCACCTGCCCATAGTTTAGGCGTTTGCCTTCATTTTGCAAGGCTTGGAACAAAGAGACCCAACCCCCCAGACTACCTCCAGGCTTGGATGCGGGGCGGGGGGGTGGGGTGCCCTGGAGCCCACATTCCAAAATATGTTCTCCCCCATCCGCACCAGTCTTTGACGTCCTTCCAGCACTTAAGGAGCCAGCTGGACGTGCCCTCCTTGACATCCCAAGAGCTCCCTGGGGCTTTTTGGCAGATGTGGCTGGCTGAGCAACCACCGGCCTGAATCACAGCGGTGCAGCTGGCTGGCTGTGTGGCTCACAGTCCCTTAGCAACCGGCTGGTTGGTTCTAGAATCCTAATGGGTTTCCGGCCAGTTGTAAATCCATGAGGGGAGCCTCTCCTTTTGCTGGAACTGTGGGGTGTCCTGGTGGGCTTTGCCGCAGTGGGGGACACCACCCCCTGGGCTGAGCTGCTCCTGAGTCGCCCGATGAAGGCTGCCTGCCCACCCACCAAGGGCCAAAGTTGGTGGCCTTTGCAGGATGAGCCGCTCCTTCCGGGCTTCTCCTGCCAGAAGTGCTGGGTGAGGTGGACAGGAGGGCCACATCCTGGTAGGAGGCAGTTTCCAAAGGTTTTTTGTTTTGTGGGCAGAGCCCGTCCGGCCACTACAGGTGGCACGTGCCGTGCAGGCCTTCAGGAAACTGGTGCTGCTCTTGAGGGGTAGCATCAAGGTCCCAGGCTGGTGGCAGTGCCAGCCTGGCCTGATCCTCCTTGCTTGGTTTGGGCTGTCTTCCCTGGACAGCCTTTACGGAGGGGTGCACTTCCCACTTAGGCTTATCCCAGGGAAGACAAGACGGACTTTCAGGCAGCTGGTCTGAGTCCCAGAAATGGCAGTCTGAGGAGCCAAAACCATCTTTGGATGCAGTTGCTCCATGTTAGAATTCAACCAATAGACCGACTTCTTCCCACCCTTCTATTGTTTCGATATACTCCCACTTCAATGGTCTGCAACTCCTGGGGAACACATGCATGCTGGGGTATTGCTTGATTCCTTAAATGTTGCAAGGTGATGCTAATGCTTTGACCCAGGAGCCTCTGATCTGACTCCGTCCGGCCACTGGGCAAACCTAAGAAAAACCTCTGCCCCTTCAACGCCCCTCCCCCTTTGGGCTCCCCTTGGATTCTGTTTACCTAACGCAGCAAATGAACGAGCAGCTTCTTCTCCAGGAACGACCGTCTCGATCTTGATTGTGCAACCTTGTATCTAGGCCACCCAACGGGTGTGCGCATGTGTGTGCGCATTGTGTGTGTACCTGGCCTTGATAAGGGGGAGGTGTCTCTCGGGGGCTCCCCAGCTGCCTGGCTTGGTGGAGCATGGCCGCCTGTCTGTTGTCGTGGCAACAGGCTCAGTCTTTGTCCCCGAAACAGGCTGCTGCGTTGACACTCCTCCAGCTCGCTCTGGAACGCAGCTTTAAGCCCAGCTGATCATCCCCGCGGGGCGACCAGCGGCACCGGGGGCAGCTTCTGCCCAGGAGGAAGCTGTCCGGGGCCACGGCAGGAGGCAGGAGGGACCCGAGCCAGGGAGCTCTGCCGTGGGATGCGGCCCCTGCAAAGCGTCTGGCTGACTGTGCTTTCCTTCCCCAGGCTGGATTTCCCTGATTTGGGGGCTGTTTGGCGGAGCAGGAGCAACGAGCGAGCAGGAAAATGACCTCCGCCAGCGAAGGTGAGCCCCTTTTCACCCTAATTGACTCCCCAGACATCTCTCAGCCGTGGTGGATGAATATTTGATGGCCCCGCCTGCAATTCCCCCCACCCTCCACTCTGGCCCACATTTTGTGCCGTTAATATTTGATCGCCTTCCAAAGCTGCAAGACAGAGGTAAAAGCCTGGAGGCAGATTGGCATGGAAGATCCGCAGCCAGGGAAGGAGGGCAGGTGGAAGCTTGGTGGAATTTGGGTGGAACACCCTCGCTGGGTTGGTCCTGAGGCTGGGGTCCTGGGCGGCCCTCCCCAGCCATCCTGGCACGAGATCCTTTTCAAGGAAGCCTTGCTGAAAAGCTGCTGGGGCCGGGGGCCACGTCAGTGGTGCTCCACACGCACTCCTTCATGGAAGCAGGAACTGAGGGGGGGGCCTTCCTGCCAAAAGGGGGGGGCGCAGATGAAGAAAGACCCCCTGGGGCCTAAGGGACTTTCCACTATTGTCCCCGCAGCATCCAGATGTTGAAGGTGGTGTGTCCCATGTGGAGGAGGCGAGGATGCGGCTGACCATGAGACGAGTGCTGATGGGGGTGGGCTTCGCCATCGCCCTGATGGTCTCCGTCCACCTGGGCCAGCAGATGCTGCAGTGCCAGCAGAGGCTGGGCCAGGGCCTCAGCTGGCCCCTGATGCGTCCCGAGAGGGAGGAGCTGGTGATGCTGGACTCCAACCGGGTCGAGTATCGCTACAGTAAGGAGATGCCGCTCATCTTCATTGGAGGGGTTCCCCGGAGCGGGACCACCCTGATGCGAGTCATGCTGGACGCGCACCCAGAGGTGCGCTGCGGGGAAGAGACGCGCATCATCCCGCGGGTGCTGGCCATGCGCCAAGCCTGGTCCCGATCCGGGCGGGAAAAGATGCGCCTGAACGAAGCCGGGGTAACGGACCAGGTCCTGGATGCGGCCATGCAGGCCTTCATTCTGGAGGTGATCGCCAAGCACGGGGAGCCGGCCCGCTACCTCTGCAACAAGGACCCCTTCACACTCAAGTCCTCCGTTTACCTCTCCCACCTCTTCCCCAACTCCAAGTTCCTGCTGATGGTGCGCGACGGGCGGGCCTCCGTCCACTCCATGATCACCAGGAAGGTGACCATTGCCGGCTTCGACCTGCGGAGCTACCGGGATTGCCTGGCCAAGTGGAACAAAGCGATCGAGGTGATGTACTCCCAGTGCCTGGCCATCGGGCGGCTGCGCTGCCTCCCTGTCTACTACGAGCAGCTGGTCCTGCACCCCCAGAAATCCATGCGGGCCATCATGGACTTCCTGGACATTGCCTGGAGCGACACCGTCCTGCACCACGAGGAGCTGATTGGGAAGCCAGGCGGGGTCTCCCTGTCCAAGTGAGGGGCCAGTCGGGGATCACCCCACGATCGGGTTGGGGCCGGTTGAATTCAGGGCCTGGAATTCCCTTGAGGGGTCAGGGTGCTCGACTAGGGCGCCCCCCCCCCCAGTTTTCAGGCAGGAGGGGAGCCGGTTCTGCAGTCAAACCTCCCAAGTTCTTTCAGATTTCACTTGCAAGTCCTCAGGCTGGACTTGATCTGAAGGAAAGCCAAGGGCCCCATGCACACACCTTTCTGCTCTGCACAGGATCGAGCGATCCACGGACCAGGTGATCAAGCCTGTGAACATGGAGGCCTTGACCAAGTGGCTGGGACACATTCCGGAGGACGTGGTGCAGGACATGGCTCAGATCGCCCCCATGCTGGCCAGGCTGGGCTATGACCCCTATGCAAACCCTCCCAACTACGGCAGCCCGGACCCCCTGGTGATCAACAACACCCACCGGGTGAGTGCCGCGGAGTCCCTGGCCTGGTTGGCGCCTTCGTCCCTTTGGGTGGATTTTTATAAACCGCTCCCTGCCAACCCCTCCTCCCGGCTCCACTAGGGAAGCCGGCCGGCGTTACTCTCGCTGAAACGGGGATGGGGAGGCCCACCTGTTCGGCATTGAGGTGCCGATCGCCTCGCTGAGCGAAGGGCTGCAGGGCCCAATTCTGCCAACACAGCTGACTCTGTGCGCTTCTTTGCCAGGTCCTGAACGGGGAATTCAAAACACCCGCCAATCTGAAAGGGCACCTTCAGGTCAGTTTCTCCACCTCCGTCCTCCTCGTCTCCCAGGCTGCAGAAATGCTCCTAATTCAGCTAGGCATGATTCCCTGGGGTCTATCAGCGTCCCCTCCCCCAATAACTTCTCCTTCTGGTGCTGGATAATTTTCAAGGGAAAAGATGAGGAGGATACCAAATAGGCGCGTTCCCACCTTTGAAATGCCCCATTGAGAGGATCCTGCCAGGCAATGGCATCTTAGCTCTGACTGTGGCGAAGGCATCTCCTCAGAGGCATAATCCCTACAGTTCAAATCACTTTGAGATTTGTTTGATACATGGATTTCCTGCAGCCAGGAATTCAATAGTGTGCATCCCTTAAATTATTTTGAATAATTTTGTTCCTATCTGGACCTGTTTGGAAAGCTAGAAACCCGAAACAACCGATGCAAAAATGAAACTGCCCAGCTCAGAAGCCGCTGACCTTTCCTTTCTGTTTGGTCTTTGCAGGGGACTCCGAATACGACTGCTTTTCACTGACCAACTCAACAATTTCCAGGTACATCTTGGTGTGGTCCCAGAAGATCTTGTCTCCAACTCAGGTGGAGCTGTACAGAAACCTTCTTGATGCTGGGAGGGTGGGCATCATCCTCTCAGCCCTGAATTCCCACCAAACCCTGGTTTAGCTCGCTTGAAGACTGCCGTGACATTCTCCGGGAGTAATTCTGCTTTCTTGATTTCATTTAGGTGCAAATTGCTTCCCCTTTTTCTGAAGAGGAGAAAGTTTGCAAACAGTGGAAATCTGTTATCCAAGCATATTGCTTGCTACTGATATTGCCAAATCAATGCTATCTATGAAATACTTTTCATTTTGCCATTAATTTGTCAAGTTTGGACTTTCCAGTTTCCGGAAAGAAGTCATGTACCAAGTCTGGATATTGCTCTGCCGTCATAAAAAGGGAACCATAAAGAATATTGGAGAAGATTTTACACTTGTCTGCGGAACAAGTTTTTCTGGCTCTGTGTAAAACCATCTTGTAATTTTTGTTCCCTAATTTGCAGACCTTAAGTAGCCCTCTTTGTATTTCCTCTTTAGAGCGCTTTCAGCCTTACTGGCCCTTGTTTCCTTTCTCTCTTCTCAGTAATTCACCAAATTAAAGAGATTTATTTATTAATTCTGAAATATATGAGATTGCTTCTTTTAGATTCTGTTCTTGTGAAAGAATAGTTAAACCCAGTTTTAACCGAGTTAATTACTTTTAAAATTTTAACGATTGGATAGTCCCTAGGATGGGAATGTTCCTATCGTTTTTTGGGCCTGCAGTTACAGAATCTCTCTGCACCCCAAGCGGGCTGGGATTGCAGATGCCAAAACCTCAGCCAGCAAACGCCGCTTTGTCCAGTCATGCTCGAAAGAGGGCTGGGCCTCCAACGAGGAAGCCAGTCAACAGTAACCTCTGTGGCCTTCACATAACCCCAGAGCAGCAGCACAAGGTTAGCCCGATGAATGACCTCGGAGCTCACGCATGGATGTGCAAAGCTGCAGCTGGACTTTGTGAACGTGTCCTATCAGTGGTTGTCTAGTTGGTGGTTGTGCTTGTGTAGTTTAGGAGAAAGGGAGCTTTTCTGATAGCTGATCTGTTTAGGGTTAGGGTGTAGAAAAAACTAACTTCACCTGCCCCATTCCAAGGAGGAGAAACTAGAGCGCGCTGGGGATGGGGGGAGGCGGATAGGGATCTGACCGCCTTCTTGGCAATTGCAAGATTCCTTCAGGAATCCGCTTCAAGCTCATGGATCTTTCCTCCCGGGTCGGTAGTTGCCTTTTCCAGCCGTATCTTCTGAGCTGCTGGGGGAGCCATGAGCTGGACCGAGGGGAGCCCCTTGTTAGCCTAAGAGATTCTCCTGACATCTCTGGGCAGCCAGCGAGTGAGTATTTGATGGCCCTGCCATCCAGTTTAAAAGCTACCAGGGGCTGATGGTGCAAAAGTCCAACAGTAAGGAAACGTGGGGGGGGGGGGGGGAGATGGAGGATTAGGATGGACCCGAGGGTATCAGTGGAGGCCATTTAGCAAAGTGCTGGTCCTTGTGCAGCTTTTCTTTCCCTGCCACTCTTTCTGATACTCCCTCCTTTCCCCAAGAGCTGGTGGGCTCTCTTCCTGTGCATCTTAGCCTTCCTCCTCACCGCCATAATGTTCACTTTCTGATTTCTCCTAATTCTGTTTCCTTGTATAAGGGTCACAATTCCCCACATCAGATTTTTAATGGTATCAGCTCTTGCAACATTGAGACAATATCTTGGCTTTATAGGATGCGCAAATCTAGATTTTCCACTTAACCGGCTTGTTGATTTCTCAGCCGGGTTTTAAAAGCCCAGAGGTGACCAATTCAACACAGGCACTGCCATTTCCAGGGCTCCGATTCCTGCCCTGCTTCCGCCCCGGTAATTTCCAGGCATTTGATGCCCTCAGCAACCACAAAAGCAAATCCTCCTCCTCCGGTCCGGGGCAGCAGGAGGCTCCCCGGCGGCGAGGGCAAGGACTTCGCGTGCCCGTCAAAAAGCGCCTTCACCCAGCGACCCTTCCTCCGGGCTCGCTGCCAGGAAACGGCCGCCAAGGGCGCCCAGCCTCGCCTCCTCCGTCCGAAGCCTTCCCGACCCGGCCCGAAGCGGAGCCGGCTCAGCCCCAGCGGGGATGCTCTTTCCCCGCCAACAGAGCCGGCATTTCTCCCACCTGGGCGCCGGGTGCCCACCGCGGGGAGTCCGGGGACGGCGGGGCTCCCCCGAGGCAAAGGGTCGGGTCTGGGAGGGAAACGACCGATGACCAACCCAAAGGGGCTTTTTCAAGAGGCCAGCGGACGTTCTGGTTTTTCTTCGAAGGCGTTTCGCTCCTCGTCCAAGAAGCTTCCTCAGCTCTGAGCAGAGTCCAGCCGCCTCTTGGAAAAGCCCCTCCGGGACCACCTCCGCGGACCTCGCCCAGCCACCAAGACCGAGGCTCCGCGCACGCGCAAGCAAGCTTTGGCCGCCCCCGGGCGCTCCTCGCCCGCCCCTCGGTCCGTCGCGCCAGCGAGACGGGGAGAGAGCGCGGCCACCTCCCGCGCAGGCGCAGGGACTTCCCTGAGCTCCGGAAGTCGCCGGAGAGCGAACGGAAGCGGGCTGCGGCGGCTGGGCTCGGCCGTTCCGGCGCCTCCCGGGACCGCGCGAGCACCATGTCGCTCTCGCACCTGTACGGGCTCGGCGGCGAGGCGGCGGCGGCGGAGGACGAGGGCGTGGAGATGGAGAGCTTCGAGATCAGCGAGTGGGACCTGCAGAACGAGTTCAACCCCAACCGGCACCGGCACCGGCAGACCAAGGAGGAGGCCATCTACGGGCTGTGGGCCGAGCGCGACTCGGACGAGGAACGGCCCAGCTTCGGCGGGAAGCGGTGCGCGGGCGGGGCCGGGAGGGCCGGGGAGGGGGAAGGGCCGCGCTCGGAGCCCCCCGCCTAAAAGCCCCCCCCTCACCCCCCAGGTCCCGGGACTACTCCGCCCCGGTGAGCTTCATCAGCGCCGGGCTGAAGAAGGGGGCGGCGGCGGCGGCGGCGGCGGGGGAGGAAGGCCCCGACGAGGACTCGGAGGAGGAGGCGGAGAGCGGGGCGCGGGCGGAGGAGCCCCACAAGGAGGCTGTGCCGAAGAAGCTGAAGACGGTGAGGCGCGGGGCCGAGGAAGGGGCGCCCCGCTCCCGGCCTCCCCGCGGCTCACCCCCGCTTCCCCCCTTCTGAACCGATGCAGGGCGGCAACTTCAAGCCCAGCCAGAAGGGCTTCGTGGGCGGCAGCAAGTCCTTCGGGGACTTTGGCAGCTGGGAGCGGCACACCAAGGGCATCGGGCAGAAGCTCCTGCAGAAGATGGGCTACGTGCCCGGCCGAGGCCTGGGGAAGAACGCCCAAGGTAGGGCTGGCTCTCCCTCTTTCACTCAAGTCCCTGGTTGCCTTCTCTGAAAACCGGGTTCCCATCCATGGTCACCACAAATCAGGGCTTTATAAAGTCCTCCCCTGGAGGTTGGTAGCCTCACCCATAAAGACGGGGCTGGAGGGGACCTTGCGGGGTCTCCTCAGTTGCCCAGTATTTTCTCAAAGTCCTCCAGTGGCCGTTCCATTGGCACTTGCGAGGAGCTCTCCCTTTCCCTAACCCTGAAGAACTTTCCTAGGCATCATCACCCCCATTGAGGCCAAGCAGAGAAAAGGCAAGGCAGCGATTGGGGCATACGGCTCGGAGCGAACCACACAGTCCTTGCAAGATTTCCCCACTGTTGACTCTGATGAAGAGGAGGAGGAGGTAAGACATGCACACGCACACACGCACGCACGGCTGTGTAGCAAAACAAGGAGGGCTCTCGAATGGCTTGCTATGCTTCTATATGATAAATTGTTTAAATTGTTTTTCCTGAGCCCAAGTGGTTCATGCCAGACATTTCAGACTCGAGGCAAGGTTGGCATGGCTTGATCCAATCTGGCTCTGCTCTCCTGTAAGGTCTACAAGAGACCAGCTGCTGAGAAACCACCTGTGGCTTCTCACCTCTTTGGGGGAACCCCGCCCCCCATCACATGCAATCTCCTGCTTGATCTCACTAACAAATGGGTGCCTTATGGATTGTGCCTTGCTTGGTCTCTGTTTTTGATGTTCCTCATATCCTCTCCCCTCAGGAATTTCAAAAGGAGCTCAGCCAGTGGCGGAAGGACCCCAGCGGGGGCAAGAAAAAGCCCAAGTATACCTACAAGACGGTGGAGGAGCTGAAAGCCAAGGGCAAGGCGGGCAAGCAGCTGTCTGCCCCTCAGAAGGAGCTGGCGCAGGTCAAGGTGAGGTGGGAGGTGGCAGCAAGATGGGCGTGGGGCGGGGGGAGGGAGAGGGGGTCTAAGCAGTTCTGCTCCATCCAGGAAAGACAGCAACGAAGGTTCTGGCGTGGAAGGTGGTGGCAGCCCTGAATAAATCTCCAGCTGCCTCCCTGGGGTTGAACGGACGTCAGCAGCCGCCTAAGTTTGTTTGTTACACACTTATGCTGCCCCTCTTCCCTGCAAGGGGACCCCTCCACTGTGGGGCCTGCTGTGCCCCTCCGCCTCCTCACTGTCTGTGGTTTCTCTTTTGGAAGGTGATTGACATGACGGGCCGGGAGCAGAAGGTTTACTACAGCTACAGTCAGATCAGCCAGAAGCACAACATCCCGGAGGATGGCCCCCAACAGCAGCTGCCCGCCTTGGGCAAGGATGCCAGGACGCCCACCTTCTCCCTGCCAGAGCTGGAGCACAACCTGCAGCTGCTGATTGACCTGACGGAGCAGGAGATCATCCAGAACGACCGGCAGCTGCAGTACGAGCGGGACATGGTGGTCAACCTGGAGCACGAGATCGAGAAGACGGAGAAGGTGCTCTTGCGGGAGGAGACCGACATCCGCGACCTCAGCGAGGTGCTGGAGCTGGTGGAAGAGTGCGAGCGGCGAATGCAGCCCAACTGCGAAGACCCTCTGACTCTGCCGGAGTGTGTCAAGATATTCGAGACCCTACAGGATAAGTACTACGAGGAGTACCAGATGTCAGACCGCGTGGACCTGGCCGTGGCCATCGTCTTCCCTCTGGTCAAGGACTACTTCAAGAACTGGGATCCCCTCAAGGTGGGGCTTCCGGGGGCACCCCGGTGCAGCCCCAAGCGAGCTCTGAAGGCTGGTGGGTTAATGCGCAACTCGCCAAAGTTGTCTCTCGTTCCTCCCTGCAGGACTGCACAGCCGGCACGGAGATACTGGCCAAATGGAAAGCCCTGCTGGAGAACGATCAGTTGCTCTCCCACAGTGCCCAGGACCCCGGCTCAGATGCCTTTCACAGGTGAGCCTCCAGCAGGGGAGGAGAGGCGGGCTCTTCCCCGGGAGAATCTTTAAGTGGGTTGGGTCGATTTCAGCCCTGAACTGCTCGCTTGGGATCCTCAGGTTGATGTGGGAAAC